TCCCTAAGACTTTAGCCACTTAGGAAGGTGACTGCTCTTTTCCAATTTTACCTATCTCTCTTCCTTCTACTTCTACTTTGGCTGTTTTTTATCACTTACGTTTTATTTGACCAAATTTTTAGGGTCAAAGTTTTTAAGAAACAGTGACAATCCTTCATACGGTATTTACACAAATGTGTCATCATATCTAGAAATTAATACTTTTACATCTACCATACCAGAAGGGGGGGGATCCATTAAAACATTTTTCAACTCCCGCCGGACAGTAGGACATAAAATATGCTGTGACAGCTTTTCAGAATAAACACATCTTATCATAACACACTATCATATAGAATACATTAATAAGCACATCTTATCATAACACACTATCATATAGAATACATTAATAAGCACATTTTATCATAACACACTATCATATAGAATACATTAATAAGCGCATCTTATCATAACACACTATTATATAGAATACATTAATAAGCGCATCTTATCATAACACACTAATGTATTAAATACGTTAATAAACACATCTTATCATAACACACTAACACATAAAATACGTTAATAAGCACATCTTATCATAGCACACTAGCACATAAAATATATTAATAAACATATCTTATCATAACACAGTAACATATAAAATACGTTAATAAACACATCTTATCATACACACTAAATTATAAAATACGTTACTAAACACATCTTAATATAGCACACTAACTTATAAAATACGTTAACAAGCACATCGTAAGATAAAACACTAACAGGTATGATACACTAAAACGTAGAATACTTTAATAAATATATCTTAACAAAATACATTTTAAGTTTCTTAACAATAAACATATCTTACGATAAGACACCAACACATCTCAGTTTTATAACCAACAATACGGGTTCTTTGTCTGGGGGGTATGAACTTAAATAAACGTGGGGGTGGATGCTATGATAAATGACATAAAAATCCTAACTTTCAAACAATGTATTTATAACATTACATATTATTACAGTATTCATCATTACCTCACCCAAAGTTTTGTATAAGCTTTAAGAAATCAATATGTATATACTTAAAACATGGTATAAACTGTGTGATGGTCAGGGTGACTTTGTAGGAAGAGGTAGTGAGGGTGCTTTCAGTTACCACTTTCAAAAACCAGCTCTTAATGTTTAATTGACGGTCACTGGCCGTAGAAGCGTCCTAGAAAGTAGGAAGTGGGTATAACTCAAGAAAAGGCTTTTCATATCAGCCTTATGATGGCTGTTGGAGTAGAAACTTCAGTTGTCTTTATATGTTATTGCAACAGTGGCGGCCAGTTGTTTTCATTCCATTCCTCCGTAGAGAGTATTAGTACACTCTTTGATATCCATAAGACATTTGTGTGCCTTCCCCACACTATGTGTGTGTGTTGTTTAATAGAAAATTAATGTTTTGTTTTTGGTGTAAGGACCGTGGCACCATCAACGAATGTAGTTAACTTACGTCAAATATAATAAATGTTCAATAACAGAATCACTAACATGTCCATTGTTCCAAGTTATCGTTCCACAAGGTTTGGTTGAGATTCACCCAGCGACCTAGAAGTAGTTAGATAACGGACAAACAGACAGACACCTCGGTTTTTGTGCTTCGTATATATAAGTATGCTTTTTTAAAAAAATGGGATATTTGTTTTTCAATTAGGGATACAAAACTGTCAATAAAGCAACATTAGTCCTAAAGATCGATTGAACTATGGTAATGAAGCCACTCTGTAACATACTTTTACAAACTGTCAGCATTAGTCCTAAAGATCGATTAAACTATGGTAATGAAGCCACTGTGTAACATACTTCATTAGTCCTAAAGATCGATTAAACTATGGTAATGAAGCCACTGTGTAACATACTTTTGAATGTTTCTCATTAGTTTATCATATTTTACTGGCTATATATATATTTAATATACGTTGTTTCTGGTTTATATTACATCTTGTGTAACACTCTGGTACTCTGGCTATATATATACCATATTAGTTTCTGGCTTATATTACATCTTGTGTAACACTCTGATACTCTGGCTATATATATACCATATTAGTTTCTGGTTTATATTACATCTTGTGTAAAACTCTGGTACTCTGGCTACATATACCATATTAGTTTCTGGTTTATATTACTTATTATGTAACACTCTGGTACTCTGGCTATATATATACCATATTAGTTTCTGGCTTATATTACTTATTATGTAAAACTCTGGTACTCTGGCTATAGATACCATATTAGTTTCTGGTTTTTATTACATCTTGTGTAACACTCTGGTACTCTGGCTATATATATACCATATTAGTTTCTTGTTTATATTACATCTTGTGTAAAACTCTGATACTCTGGCTATAGTTACCATATTAGTTTCTGGCTTATATTACTTATTATGTAAAACTCTGGTACTCTGGCTATAGTTACCATATTAGTTTCTGGTTTATATTACATCTTGTGTAAAACTCTGGTACTCTGGCTATATATATATATACCATATTAGTTTCTGGCTTATATTACTTATTATGTAAAACTCTGGTGCTCTGGCTACATATACCATATTAGTTTCTTGTTTATATTACATCTTGTGTAACACTCTGATACTCTGGCTATATATATATATCATATTAGTTTCTGGCTTATATTACTTATTATGTAAAACTCTGGTACTCTGGCTATAGATACAATATTAGTTTCTGGTTTTTATTACATCTTGTGTAAAACTCTGGTACTCTGGCTACATATACCATATTAGTTTCTTGTTTATATTACATCTTGTGTAACACTCTGGTACTCTGACTATAGATACAATATTAGTTTCTGGTTTTTATTACATCTTGTGTATTCTATTCTATAAAACATGCAACTGTAATTGCTATTTATTCTATAAAAACATGTAAGTGTAAGTGCTATTTTATTCTATTAAACATATAAGTGCTTCTTATTTTGTATTTTTTCCACAGATGCCTGTCACTTACTCGAACATCTTGCTAGAAGAGAAGATGAAGAACAGGATGTTCGACTTCTGGCCGAAGAAAATTATAGAGTATTAGATCATGCTATGAAACGTTAGTGTAATTAAATCAACATTTACTTTTTCTCTCTCGTTTTTAACAGTAACTTTGGTACAAATTCTTCCAAGGGATTTAAAAGTTACATAACATGAAAAATCAGAAGAATAATGTTAAACTTGGTCAGAATGGTTACTAGAGGCTGGTGTTTGGGTAAAGTGTGATGATGTTATGGGTCATTAATCACACGAAACGTTCAGATTAGTTAGATTAGGTAGTTAAAGAGATATGTCACGTGCAGTAGAAACGAATAACCATGGTTAGGAAAATAAATATTTACATTTTCATATCAAACCCTGGCTGGTCCACAGGATCAGATATAACACCCATGTTCTGTTACTGACGTGGCTGGTCCACAGGATCAGATATA